ACTACGCAAGCCCTTTCGGGCACAGGCAAACTGGCTCGGCGAAAGCTGGGAGACGGTGGCAGCCACTCGAGCAGAAACTGCAGCTCCGAATAAGCGCACAAACAGTATTTCAGCCGTATGTTTTTTTCCCCTTGTCGTTTACTGCGCTGCTTGCGCCAAGCGCTAAAGGCCGGAATGCCACTTTCTCCACCTAATCATTGTAGGAGTGATCACGACCTTCAAACCCGTGTATTATTGCTGAATTCTTGTGGCATCCTCTGGAATCCGAGCCATGATGAACTTTATGATATGACGCCTTTGAAATGTCATGTAGGCTTCAGCATGCATTTAGTTACAGTTTAACATCATTATATCACCGTTTTCAATGTTATCAAATAACTTAAAATATAATGCTGAAAAAACACCAGCAGCAATAACTAGAATATTAGTAGTGTAATTTCCATTGACCAAATACCCTTTCTTTCTTTTTTTCTTTTTTTCTTTTTTTTTTTAATCGATGGCTTATGATCAGCATTGTCTCCGTGGAATTAAACTCCCAACCAGCTTGCTCAGCAAATCACGTAACTCGCCATGTTAAAATATCTGAAAGCAAACTTGGTTTTCCAGAAATATTAGGAATAAATACAGTAGGCTCTCAGACAAAGGACGGTTGTCACGTTCTTAGCATGCAATGTAAAACAGTAATAGTCTATGGAGTGCTTTAGTTTTGTAATAAGTCATTGTGACAAGGTTAACACTTCAACACACAACAACATACAAACAAGAACACCCAAAGATGAAAATTACTTTGCTTATGTTGCTGTATTAGAATTCTATTTGCTAAAGGGTGAAAACAGATTTGCAGAATTCACAGTTAACTTAAAACAATAGTTTTAAACCTTTTATTCCTAGCCCTGGCTGCCTTCAGGAGGGAAAGAACATCTGGTTATTTAAGGAACACAATATGTTCACATTTTCTATGACTTTTGTTTCTAATTGGGTTTTTTAATTTTTTTTATTTGAACAACTCTAGTAAGAACTATGCTTTTTTAATCACTTTCTGTTTTTCCACTGCCCGCCCTCCATATCTCTACTTCTTAATTTCATAGAATTTGCTTTGAAAATTAACAGTGCTCAATGGTTTTGATAAGTAAAAAAAGGAAGAAAATTGGCCACTCATGGCATATTAAATTCACAGAAGCACACCTACAGTCAGTGCATTTGGGTTTACAGAAAAATCATTGCCTTACTTTCTCATTTCACATATATGTACTTTTGATACTCCATTCTTTCATTTCAAGGTCTACCTTTCTATTCAGAAGGACTGTAAGCACATAGAAGCAACTTTTCTACAAATACTTGAGGAAATTATCTATTGGAAGAGTAGAAATGTGGAACAAATACTTTCCTAAGCAGGTTAACAGTATCTCCCCATGCAAAGATAACAACACTGATTTCAAACTTGAGGTTTCATTCTACATTTTCCTAACCGGAGCTAGGCAAATTCAGAAAAAGCTTAAATTCAATTATACTATACTGATCCACACTCATGCCTGAAAAATTAATATCTCTGAGCCCCCCTTTCACAGACAGGTGCATTCATTTGTCTTCAGGTATTACAGGCTCTGTATTTCTCTTTGAGGGCAGTGGTACATACCAGAGATGTGGAATCTAAAACGTCCTCTTATGCCAGCTGGGGTCTACCGTGGTGAAAGGAGAGCTGCTGCAAGCAGCACTAGATTAATGGTGAGCAATAGCTACATTTCATATTATTACTGGATAATGCTTAGGCTTGTATTCTGAGTCCACCATCAGGTCAGAAAATTGTATTTGTCCATCTAGAAGAAAAAAATTCCACCTGTCCTTTAAGTATAGCTTTCTTCTGACATATAGGTTGCTCTCCCAGTGATGACAGCAGTGAAATGCAGCAACCAAAAACCGAGAGGTTCATCAAGCCAAAGTTTAACTCATCTAATATTTTACAAGACAAATAAGTAAGAAGGTATCAGTTATGATGGAATAAGGAAATGGAAGAAGAGATAACAGATGATATTAGAAGCGTAAACTCAGAGGATCTCTACAATCAGAAGTTATGCATTAGGTCCATCTTTACTATTTCACAATTTATGACATAACTGTTCTTTAAGAAGCTTTCAGTTTTAGGAACATGTGATTTAGGAACACTGATTTCTTCTAGTCCCAATACTCTAGTGAGGTTATTTGGCATTTATCTATCTGCAAAAATAATCCTGAAGAAAATGTATGAAGCAAATGTACAAAGCGTTGAGAGGCCAATTCCTCTTTGTTCCTGTCCATGATTTCTAAACTGCATGTTCTGTCCAGCTGAGATTTCAAGCTCTGAGGGGCAAAGAGCAAGTGTCTCTCAGAAATATGGAGGGCCACTAACCTTTTTTTTTTATGCTCAACAAAATAATGAAATGAGCTACTGGACCATGTAACACTCTCCCACAGAAAGGAGAGAGAGTTCCACGACTTCACACATTAAAAACCACGCACAGTCTTGGAAGAAATGCCATATAGAACAGGGCAGCTCTGGCCCAAGAGATCTAAGTTGCACTGAACCAAATTTAATTTCCCATTAGGAACCAGAAGCTAGTGATGGAGAAATGCACAGGAAAATATCAAAGGAGGAAGAAAAACCATTCAGTACTGAATTTTTTAATCATCACTTACAAGTTACACATCTGACTAAAATCTCCTTGTCTCTTTTTCCAGTCTTAGGGAATTATCTTCATGCAGATAGGAGAAAAAAATAATCTTTATACCGATTTTAAGACTCCAGCAAGGCCCATGATACCTTGTCGAGTCTTCCCTTTCACTCTACGAAATGAAAAATTTTGACAGACTCAGAAAATTTTTATATGAAGGTCTTACATCACATAGAATAACAAGCCACAGTAGAGGGACTCCTATTTCAGAAATATGGTGGGTTGAACCAACATATGTTTAAAGACACTTAAAATCATACTTGGGGAAAGATAAAAAAGAGGTACTTGAAGTTACAGCATGGAAAATATACCTCTTTCTCAGACCAGGAGATAATTTTTTCTTTTAGAGAGACCCCTTAGAACAGGTTAACTTCCTTACCGTAGGAAGTCCAGATTTGTTAATATTAATCTCAAAGACCCACTCCAATGTGAGAGGCTGCTAAAACTCCCTTAGGGCTCTTTAGTCTCTGGAAATTCTAACTTTCTAACCTTTGAGTATTTCCCAACCAGGTAAGGACAGCTCAGAAATGGGGAACAATTTATCATAGTTAAAATGACAAAAACCAGTAGTCTTTGCATGAAAGAGCTTTAAGTACTCATTCACCCGACTGAAGGGAGAACAACTTGAAAGATACTGTAAGAACTACATCCAGTACTTCTCTGAAAGGTGTTCAAGGAGTATCTGAGAATGTTAATTAACAGGACACTGCGGCCTTATGAGCTGACAACTTTATTCTGTTGGAGACAAGAGAGTAACTTGAGCAGAAGAGTGATTAAACTTCCCTCACAGGAAGTTATTTGATGGTTTATTTTTGCCCCCTTCCTCTGGTAGGGTGACTTGCATACTGCCTAGGATGACATCCTACTGCCTAGAGGACAGCTAGATAATTAGTAATTATTATTAAATTCTATCTTTTAACATACCCCCTCATAAAACAGCAGATTACATACGGGATTTAATTGATATCTTAGCACAATTTCCCTTCCTCTACACCTTCCTTCTAAAAAATATTTCTATCTTGTTTGCTAAGAGAGTACATAAACACAAAAGCCAGGTAGTTTGATTTCACAGACTGCTGTCTAAATCTTAAGAAAAATTCCTGAGAACTAACGTTACAAACTTTCTTACGCATTGAAAAGACGATATGTTTTACTACTCATCATGAAAGAAATCTTTGTGCCCAAGAGGAATGAAGAAAGCAGCTGTAAGGATGCAAATTTCTGCACAAAACTGATACAGAAACAAAGGGAAAATTTTTTTCTTAAACCATAAAAGCGTAAACATTGGTACTGAATGAAATTTTGCAGAAGGCAGCTAGAGTGCAGAAGTGCAGAATTTTTCACTTTCAAAGGTGGCTTGCATCATGAAGATGAGGGAGATCAGACCGTGCACTGGCAGCCTACTAATGGGACAGGCTCAAAGACAGCTCAAAACTCACAGCACAAATTCTGCTATCTGCCAGAGATCTGAATACTGAGATGGTTATTGTGTACAGCTTTATCTCAGACACTTTATCCACTATGCTGTGGATATTCACTGTATATTAGAGCCACATATATACACTCTCAAACAGCAAGAGGTTCACATGTTTTTTTACTGTAGATGAGTATATCGGACACTTTTGTTGGTAATATTTAACATAAAATTTATGAATGTTTCAATTTTATTTATGTGAAACTTTTCAGGCTGTAATAGTAGATTTTCATTTTTAACTGAAAACCATCACGTAACTATTATATACTGGATGTGACTAATGCTTTAAGGATTAACCATTAATCAGGATTAATCTGCAGAAATATCATGAAAAAGATTCTACAGAAGAAATTGTATGACAGTTTCAATACAGCTTACTGGATCTTTATATAAAATATTACTGTTCCCCTCAAAAATATACTTATGTGGGATCTCTCTGCAGAATAACCGAGCAAGAACTAAGGAACATAAACATTTGCCAAGCAGTTACCTGGAGAAGTTTAGAACAGCAGTGGGATAACATGCTTTTAAGAATAAAGAAGCACGTATTCTACTCTTAATAACTTTTCCCTTTAAACACTCTTGTTTAATAACTTTCCTTTAAAACGTCTGTCAAGAAAGAAGACACTCGAAATGTTAGTTTAGTCCCCAAAACATAGGCTGTTAGTAGCGTCACAGAATTTGGAACATTTTATTACAGAGATTTATTTCCTGTATTGGTATGCTTTACACAGTGAGTACCTCACCTTTGGATCTCGGAGAAAAAGTGCTCTTAGGATAAGGGAGTGAACATCTCCAATAGGTGGATAATGCATCAGAAGTCCCAAACAGGTCTGATAATTACTTGAAATCACTAAAACAGAAATGGAGAAAAGAGAGTGAAATATTACCACATTTTTACCACCAAAATAGTATCTTCTTCTGTAGATTCATTATAGTTCATGTTCAGTTGCCTTTTCCCACATTAAGCACAAATAGTCTTAGGACTCTAGCAGTGCTCAAAGTGAAAGAAGATAATGTATAATCAAGCTTCATGACTATGCTTTTTATATATATAAAAAATTTGATACCCCCCCCCCACATCTATGTATATATATAAACTGATGTCAATAACTCCTTTTTTTCTTTTCAAAAATTAGAATCTAAAATGAAAATCAAAGTGTGTTTTCTTTAAGACGTGCTACTTTTTCTGAATACTTCAGTCAATACCTTTATCTATTTAAGAAACAGTAAGGGCAAAGGAAAAATGCTACATTTTCATGACTTTTTATATGTTAAATACTTAAAATAAAATATATTAACTTTATTAGAACTTCTTATTCAGAAATTTTAGGTATGCTTTGTCTGAAGTTTATCTTTTTTGTAAATAGATTGTGCTTGATTTTATCTCAATCTATGTAAATACACTCTATAGTTCTTTAGTTCTTTGCTTGTCGTTGTCATCCTTTTTTTTTTTTTTTTGCAAATCAATCTAATTATGAGGGCAATTATTAAAGACATCCTTTCAAGCAGGTCTACGTAAACTACTTCATTTCTTTTGCGCCACCTAAATCCAGGCAATCCATCTGCCACAGCTGTCAAAGCAATGCCTATTAAGGATGCTTGCACTGTGCAACATAAAGACAGCCTCCAACAATAGTATTTGTAAATAATTTTTAAAGAAACTTTTCCATTCCGAGAACTTTAGCTGTAGCAACAAATACTTTTAATTAATCAGAACTCTGCACCAGAAAAGATCCTTGTACACAAAATTATTTTGAATAAAAAGAAAGCCAAAATAAATGATCTTTTTGTGGACATAGGGACTGAAATGTTTTACTGTTTTCTTTCATGTGAATAAACCTCATATCCTCCTGTGCCTTTCCTCCCGTAACAAGAGGATTGTGGGGAAAAAATGCAGGACTGGGCAAAAGGAATAATTATAATCTGATTTCCGTTGCTGATCCGACAGCTTGTAATTTCATACATCTGCTTTCATTTGTAAAGCACTCACTTATCCTACTCATTCTTTATCTGTTCTGCCTGTTCTTTTCCCATCCTTTGTTTTTCTTGTTCATATTCAGGTACCTGTTTTTTCTGCTGGAAGTCACAAAGCTAGCATAATGAACACAGTACAATGGTCTCAGTCGGAGTTCTTTCAGATGAGTATAATACGAGTTCCACACATTATACAGCCAATCAAATTCTCACACGTAAATCAAATTTAAGATACTGAACTGCAGTTATGATTATGATACGTTTTTATGAAAGCAAATAAAAATACAGAAAATGGATAGTAAACTCTAAATACTTTTATAAAATATATGCATTAAGACCGACGCATTTCTCTCTTGAACATAGTATGTGTTCTGTTTTGCAATGTATAATGGACTAAAGTTATTCTTTCTTTATTTCCCCTGGAAGAGTAGTTCCTTGCTGTCCTATATGTACAGAGAAAAGTAAATATTAAAATGCTATTTTTTAATGGTGCGGATCAGACTACTGACAAAATTGAGATTTCCAACCACAAGACATTTACTATAATCATTAATTGTTTAAAACGTACAATACTGATGCAATTGAATAACTGGACCAAAAAAATCCAATTGCTGGGCAATGACCCATGTCCCCTCTGCTCCCTGAAAGTTATATTTTAAAATGGAACCTTATCATTAGAAGAAAGTTAGGTTTAAAAAATGCATCTCTAGTCACGTTAACTTTAATGAGGCAGGCCTGCTACCTTTATAATCATTTCATCTTTAGGGTTTTCCCTGTATATTCAGCTGTCTCTTTTTCTGTGGAAATCTTTACAGAAGAGGACGTTCTTGTCAGTGTCCTATTCACAGTGGACTCTTGGGTTAGAGGGATTAAGCTGCAGAAATGCCTCCTGGTGTCTTGCTTACGAGTGAGCTCTTCTTGTCTCTTTAGGACAAAATGCATGATATTATCCAACAGAGCGATGATTTCCTTAAAAATGATTCGGAAAATGGTAGTGAAACAAAACAAACACGCCTTTTTGGAATATGCATGTTAGTGTTAAAAGGATTTCTAGGAATCAGTTGTAGGACAAAGTTCCTAGAAGGAGATTCTGTGCAATACAGATTTCTCCAGTATCAGCAGTAGTGGGATGTTACCCAAGTGGAGTGGTGAAATATCTAATACTGGGGTCAGCTGCCTTGTAATAAGCTTGCTGCTTGTGTACCTGCACTTTTCCTTTGCTTATCAGCTTGGCAAGAGTCACATCTAGATCTAACTTTTATCCGGAGTAATAAGTTACCACTTCTCTGAAGAAGAATGCTATTGGTATTTCTAGGGTAAGGGGTAGAGAAACTCCCCTACAGAGAGAATGAGCGTAGCAATTTTATTGCCTTTTGATTAATATTTGTGATGCAGTGCCCAGAGGAACATCAAATTGATTTTTCTCTTCTGCTTTAGACAAGACTGACAATCTGCTATTGGCCCAGTAACCATTCCTGGACACAGGCAGCAGTGAAAGATGCTGAAAACATGTAAACTAAATGTGCGTAACCTCAGTCAAGTCCTTATTTCCTGCCACCAGTCATTTCTTCAGAGTCTGATGTTTGACATAGCCAATCCTGTATCCAGGTGATTTCCTAATCCAGGAACGGTGGGACTATTTCCCCCTGCAGCTTTAGGCGCTGCTGTGTTCTACTGCGGAGGCACTCAGCTTGAGTTAAACATACATGATACAACAAAAATATGAAACCAGCTCTTCTGAGTAGGGACTGCGGCTCCTTTATATTCCCCCAAACATTCAGAGAACCTTTATATAAGAAAAAATTTATCCTAATAATGGCCATAGCTAGTCTTCAAGTGGAAACAGTACAAGTATACTCATTCAAACACTGATCAGCCAATATCAGCTGCTAGGGCAGCGATAATGGCCTCGTGTTAGTTTACTATGCAAAACATAGACAGGTCTCCCAGGTTTGCTTTGCAGCCTCTAAAATAAACAGGTCGTTTCAACCCGCGTTTTTTGTGCATAGACAATTACCTGACAATTTAAATGTTCCCTTCACCACTAAATAACATGTATCTTGAGTAACAGAGAATTTTAAAAATAAATAAAAATAAAGTGAAAAATACAGCAGAAATAATACTTTCTTAAAATCATGCCCCTGAGAACATGATAACAAAACACACAGAAAAGGCAACAATTCCAAAACAAGCAACCTCCTTCCCAAACATGTTGGTGTAGAAAAAAATGCATCATTTATAAACTCTCAAGTGCTTTCAGGATTACGTTATTATCATTTTTTATGTTTGGCATTTTTATAACATAATATCTATTATTCTATTATTATTATTCCCACTGAACCAAAGTTTTTGAACTCAAAGGTTTTAAATTGAAACTTCCCAGATGGTTTATTTACAGATGATTAACCTCATTGGGTGTTTCGAGTTAGCATTTCCTACCGCTGAATAATGAGAAGTCTTTATAAACTTACTTTAATTGAAAACTTTTTCAAAAATATTGCAGAAGAATTCGCTACTCATAAGACTGTTGGATGATTTTTTGTTTCCAATTAGAGCTCAATATTATCAGCAATATAAAAACAAGAGAAAAATGGACAACATTTCTATATTATAGATGTGTAAGAAAAGTTTTCTTTTCTCAAATCAAGAAATGTGAAAACCTCTACAGTCTGAGCATGAGTTTGACAACATATTCAGCTTTACAGTATTTATGACTGGGTATTTTGTTTCACCATCCTGTTAAGTTTAGAGCAACGAATTATGTCCAACTACAGAAGAAAAAGTTACTTATTACAGGAACATCGTAGGTACAAAGAAGTAGCTGTCCTGACAGGCTGACTGTGTATCTTATTCGCACAAATGTACTCCACTTTAAAACTATTTCCAACTTCTTTTACTAAGCCTAGGGACTTTAGAGAAAAGAGGGAGACTGATTTCATACAGATGCCTAGAACACATTTTTTGCTCACACTGATACTCGTAAGTGAGCACCATCAAACAAAATGAAACAACCCCAAAAGAACCTTCTCTCCACCAGGAGAGGTACAGTTGTGTGCTTACAAACACACTTCTCAAGTTGGCTTTTTAAAGGGGGACAATATAAAAAAGAATGGTTATGTTAAACATTTTACATACATCTGCACTATGTATCTATACTAACATTTTCAAGATTATTTCATCTTAATACACATAAATAAAACAGACTGAGATTACAGAACATGACAACTTGGAATCAGATCATTCTGAAATCGAAATATTCATCTGAAACCTCTATACTGAATTAAGTACCCACTTTGAGAGGAATGCAAGGTCCCTATATCCTACAGGTTTATTAAAAAGTAATTTAAAAAACACATGAAGTTCTATGGCAGACAGTGGAATGATAATATGTGTGAAGTACGTGCACGTTATGTTTTCAAGGTTGGGCCCTAAAACAGGAACCACAGATGTTGAAAACTTCACGTGTCCTAGAACACAGAATTGTGTCAAATATGTGACCCTGTTATAAGCTAACGCTTACAGATTGTGTAAAATTAACTCTGAACAGCATGCTACAGAATTCATATAGTTAATGACAGACATGCATCTTGTTGCAAAAGGCATACTTGTTTTTGTGGCAAGCTTGCATATAGAATTATTTGAACAATATGCTGGACCAGAAATCAATGCTTCTTGACTTATCATTACACATCTTTTTCCTCCCATTCATACTTATATGTGTTAGCAAAGTTTTTGTGATTTCTTGTTTGTCCCAACTTAATGTATTTATTTTCCGTCATTAGCCTGTAAGAATTCACCTTTGCACAAATTTCAAGTATACTAACATATAAACTTTTTTTTAAGATATCACTTTTATGTAGAACAAATATGTTTTATATGTGCTGTTCATCTCTGTGTGCACATTTCCTTGAAGATGTATCTTGGAAAGTTATGGGTCATCTTGTGGATTTTCACATTTTTCACATCAGAACAGCACAAAAATATTTCCACTGTCAAAGGCCGACTTTACTCAATTCATCGGCTTTGTCAGAAGGTGGAGCTCTGTACATACCTGTATCACCGAATGCATACAAAATCTGCAACTCCATATAGAAACACAGCACTACTAAGAAAAGAAACCTGCGTTTAACTCCAACATAGAATTTGTTTCATAAATACAGCGGACCATGTCCAATAACAAAGGGCTCCTCTCATAGCATTTGGAAAGATTTTCACTTTGTTAAAGAAGTCATCATGAAATTTAGAATTTCTTAGGCCCTCTTTTGCTTTGAAAACTAGGCTTGCATTCTCTCTAAAAAGATCGTAAGATAGTTGATACTTACAGGCATCCCTAATATATAACAACATGGCTACAAAAATGTAGTCAACTAAGTTCAGGGTGATACTGTCAGCAAATAAAGCATCCCAGACAACTAGAAGGTCCTGAAGTGGGAATTCTCGTCCAAACAGGAGCCTTACCCATCGCCTGGAAAAAAAAAAAAAAAGACAGGATTTTCATTTATTTTTTTAATTATTTTTCCAAATAGGATAATGTCAATATATCACAGGATCAAGTACAGTCCAAATAATTTTACTGGAAAATTCTACAAAGTGTGAAAGTCTACAATCATCACGTAACTAACTGTAATTGTACAAACGTTATTTTCTGTATATTAAAGGAAGCAACACGTTAGAGACTCTGGAAGCTTTAACTGACTAATATTATTATGTGGATGAACCTCAATGGACAAAACACAAATCAACCCTGTATACTGTCCTTCCAAGCACTTAATGTGATACCGTTCTAAGATGCAAGCAGGAAAATGTGAGGCGAGACTAGCCTGGAAGAGCAAACAGGAGGAAGCCAGTGGCTTATGAGAACCCCTGAAAAGCCTAGTCAAGTGAAAGCTAGTTTGGAGGCATATACCAACTAGCAGTTAAAACAGAATGGCTCACAGTTACTTAAAAAAGGTCTCTTCCGTTCTTGATGACAGCGTTTGCCGCTCCATATAAAATATGCTATGAATGCTATTTTGATTAAATATAATTTAAATTTTTATCAGATTTAGTGATAATCTACATGTAGAATATGCATTCATTCCTGTTCAGAGCTGTGCTGTTTTCATACTTAGCAAAACATTGGAAATCTATCTTATTAAATGCAGTATTTGTTTCAGCCTGGAAGCCTGGGATGCAGTACAAGGAGAAAATTATTTCTCAAGATTTCTGAATTCCAGTTCCAGCTCTTACACTGATTTATTTGCTGACCTCAAGTTACTTCCCTTTTCCTAACCCAGAACAGAACCACTAGCTTTGCACCTTTTAAGGTAGCAAGGATTATCTAATATTACATTTGAAAGAGCTAAAGTATAGTTAGCAATGTTAATCATGAGATAGTTATTACAAAATGGACTTAGAAATAATAAATTACTTTTTTAGCCGGGATATGCAAATTAATACCCATGTGGAATCTTTTTATTCAGTGGCAAGAGAAGATTGATTGCAAATTTCTGTTAAGCAAATTAAGTCATTCTTTAAAACTTGGCGTTAAAGTCACAAAAATTTCTAAAAAGGCAACTAGAAATTTCAGGAATTATTTCACTTCCAAGAATTCACATTTAATCACTTTTGTACCAGAACTCAGTGTAGTTGTATGGCTGTTTTTTTTGACTCTAGTACTAAAAGTTCATTTCTGCACAAATGAATTCCAACAAACATCAGTCGAACACATGCTTTAAAGGTAGTAAAAATTTGTGCAGAAAGACTATCTCTATAAAAGAAATTCAAAGGTACGGTTTTGCGAATCAAAGTTTTGTTCACTTCAAGTTTTATCCTCCCCACCACGGGAACTGCATGTATTACCCATAAAAAGTCCAGATTTAAAGATCACTACGTAGAATATTTTTTTCTGCAGGACACGTCCCAATTCAAAAATGAAAATAAGTGATTTCAAAACATAGTATCTTCTTAGCCTCATGTTCTTACATCAAAGGTCAATTTTTTTAAGGTCTTGTAACTTTTTACTTTAGCATAATAATTATAAAGGTTAGAATATTAGCTATAGCAAAATACAAGCTGCTTATGAATTTGCCTCGCCCATCAAACCCCTCTCCTATGAGGACTTAATTTCAGGCCTCAGTGCTGCTCTGAAACAGAAGCTAGAAGAACTGTTCACACAAAGCAAGGCTTACCTGGTACGTTTAATACCAAGTCTATTCTATATATGGTATTTTAGCGTATAGTGGCACATTACCCTACAGTGCCTAGCCTACAGGAAACTATTATACTATGGTGACACAAACATTACCGAAACTCTGCGTGAAGCCTATTACTTGCATTAACAACCCCTCCCACCTGTAAAACCACAACTTTCATGTTACACAAACTGTTAGGAGAGAAAGCTCAGTAAATCTTGAAGCATTTGAGCTGACTTCGCTTGCAACTACACAAATCTCATTCAAAAGCCTTACGAAAACTCTGATACACTTCAAGGGAAAAAATACACCATGGTGTAATGGGATTTGTTATTAGTCTTTTATTAGAAATCTCTTTTGCTTCTTTACTACTTCATTATGCAGTGTTAATCGTTTGTAGATGCAGGTTTATTCTGCTCAAGCAGAAGTCATTCCTTTTTTTCTCCTGCTTTTATATTTTCTCCTGGGAAAATTAAATCTCAGTCCCCAGAGGTATCGTCTTTCACAGATGTAGACTGCAGAAGAACAACTGGACTTCCTTTTGCAACCATAATATTACCGTTAATTATTTGAACCTTCTTGTCCTAAAGGCAGTAAGCAATTCATACTGTTTTAAATGCATATATACTAACTGTTCTCTTCTTTTCTCCAGCAGCATTTAGCTCATAGCATCTATAAACCAAGGACCCTATTGCCTATGAACCATGCTGCCATATGGCAGGACTTCAGTTAGCTTATACATTCATAAAAAGGTATCTTAATTCCTTAAAGTAAGTGTTCGCACTGAAATGCTGTCTTTGAAACTAACACATTCTTATTGCTTTTACAAATATTTGCAGAGAACTTAAGACACTTAATAATCACGTCGGACAAGATAAACTTTTTTTTTTTTTTTTGAGATGGCTGTCTGTGGTTTAATTATTGTTCTGTCCTGTTAATCTTGCCTTACATCTGTTACACCTGCAGACTATGAGGCTCACAATAGTATACCTTTTATCACAGGCAATAATACAATAATTCATATTTTACCAGGCATACTTAGCAATTAAAATCTACAAAAAAACCCAGATTCTTTAAAGCCTTAATACACCAAGGATACTACTACCTGCATTGTAGAATACGTTACTGTATCTTCTACTTATGATTCCTATATAATTAAACCAATATTCTCAAGAGATCAGTAATTACTAGCAATAGATAATGATTCATTAATAACCTCTGCAACACAGTGAGAGGAGGAGAAAACTGTGCTCTGGTAAACCTCTTAAATAAGGCAATGATCCAGCCTTACCAGTTTTAAATAAAAATCACAACCATTCTGACTGAGATTTACTGGACAATTCTGTGATCATCTATACAATTAACTTATTTTGTGTGTGAATACCTTTATTTTTATATATTTTTAGCTGTATATCTTCTCTATCTTCTGGGAAAGCAGTGAAATCTTAAAAAACAGCCTAAGAAATGCTTACAGAAGAGAAGTTTCTAAGGACAAAGCAATACAATGAAATTAGAAAGCTTAAGAAAATCCATGACTTTAAGCAAGGCAAAGTATAGCCTGTAACGTGGTATACACACACTGAAACTGCTCCTGAAACATTCTGAAGTTACTTGGAAGGGACTAAATCTAGGACCTACAACTTGGCCACAAGTTGCCTAAAATGTTTACTGTAAGAGCCTGCTTTCAGCCATTTAGGCTTTTGCTAAATTCAATCTTCAGTACAATTTCCACTCCAAGTGTCTGCTCAAGGCTTGATTTTTATTTGCTGATACTATTCATTAGGACAAGTTTAAAAACAAATCTGCCCACATTTTTTTTTCCCCTACCATTTCATTAAGAAGCTCTAGAACCAAAACAATAAGGTCTCTGGGATTTCCCTTTTGCTATGCACGTGAAAAGATGCCCAAATGTGATAATTCCCTGGCTGACCTGAGCTCAGTAGAGAGTAGATTTCCACACAGTATGTTCTGTTTCTTCCTCACTCTCATCAACTGCTGAA